TATTATGTGTATAATTTACTTTAATTAAAGAAAAAATGAAGAATGTCAGGTCTAGGGTCACACCAACCTAGTCCTATAATGCCTGAATTTTTAATTTCAGGAAAAAAAATTTTGTTTTTATTCTTTACTTTCATAGTTATCAATAGCTATATTACTATATACATTTAATTAAATGTTACAAAAATGTCATGTTCAGCATTATAGGATTCGATTAATATCCTGGCTCTGGTACGGACTCACCATTTAAAAAACAGAATAACCACGGTGCTCTTTTTCACTACATTCTTATCCTTTGGTTCCCTACATCTTTTAGTGTCATGTCCTTCTTCCAGTCCTTCTTCCCTGTGAGTCCGCTAGTTTTGATTGCGTGCCTTCATGCACAGCCCAATGGACTTTAGGCGCGCAGATGTCCCATGGTAGCCAAAGGAGCCCGAATGTGGGTGGTGGGTACCTGTTGGGCTGCTAATCACAAGGTCAGCGGTTTGAAACCACTGCACGCTCCACGAGAGAAAGACGAGGTTTCCTAATCCTGGAACCCAGAGGGGCAGTTCTACCCTGTCCTATAGGATCACTGCGAGTCAGGATCTACTCACCGGTAGTGAGCATGCATAAGCTGTTTACAGTACACTAAGCATTCAAGGGCTTCAACATGTTCCTAGTACAAAAGAGACAATTTCCCAAAAGCCTCAAAGTTAGGATGCTGAGCCACCCCAGCAGGTTACCTGCAAGGCATTCCCAACAATGTAAGCAAAAGCTTTAGGATGACAGATGGCATACATTTAAAAGACAAAACACATCGCTAACTAGGATTATGCCCCACATGAAGAATTACTCTAACAGCCTTAAAGTCTGGAAGGAAATACATCCACATGTGAACAGCAATGGATGGAGGCATGTGGGATTTTCTGTTGTTGTAATTTAAAAACATCTATATTTAATTGTGGCTTGGGGGAAAGTTGACGCTGCGCATTCGACTTCTCCTTCGTAACAGTCTATACTCACAAGTCATCTAACATTCACTTGGCCACATTTTCCACAGCAGGTCGGGTCAGCATTCCCATCTTTCCATTCCGCTTGTTTTGTTTGCATTCATCTAGCCTCTCTGCCCCACCCCCACCACATACTTTCCCATCCTCACTTTAAGGGAACCGTGAATGTTTGGAAATGGATTGTGGTAACGATTGTACTGCTTGATGTGATTGAAATATGGAATGATATATGTATTAAATCCCAACTGAAAAAAAAGAAAACTAAATGTGAACCATTTGGTCTTGTATAGATGATTATTGTTATTATTTTTTTAGATGATTAATATTTAAAGAAGTGGGCGACACTGTTTCTTTTAGGAGCTAATCTATTCTCTGGCTGAAAGCTGACCTCCAGGAGAAGCTTCCTTTCCAAGTTCAAAAGGTATCTCAGGGTTCCTCTAGTGAGTCTCTTCCGGGCCGGGAAATCTGGCTTTCAAGAGTTCGAGTTTTGTTCTCCCTTTTCCTCCCATTCCACCTCGGACCTGCTCCTGTGTCCTTGGTCAATTCCAACTCATAGCGGCCCTAAAGGACAGGGTAGAACTGTCCCCTTTGGGTTTCTGAGACTTTGAATCTTTTTGGGCTGACGGCGTCATCTTTCTCCCAAGGAGCTGCTGGCAGGTTTGAATTCCCGACCTTGTGATGAGGTCAGTGTGTAGCCTACTGCATCATGAGGACATACTCTTTTAAAACTGTTAAAGTAACTAACTTAAAGGCAGCATCAGATCAAAACCAAAGGGACTTCCAAGAAGCAAAATGCCAGCCTAACCACTTCCATTTCTGCACAATGCCTGTCCCTTTTCGGTGCCTGGGTAGCTTTCTCCCTCAGCTACTAGGACAGCAAGCACTCCCTGCTGAAGGGTGCTTTTTCCACTCAATACAGTCCCGGACACTTCCCCACCTTCCTACCGCATATTCAGAATACAAAATAAATAAAATCTAGAACAAAGACGTTTTCATGAAGCCATATAACTTGTGAGCTTTACTTTGTATCAAGAAACCAAATGGATGTGATTTTCTTTGGTGACCAGTTTGCAATCAGATGAGGGCTGGATGAGAATAAGTTTGACCTTGCACAAAATCAGTCTTATCTGCCTCTTTTTCTCCTGAGGCAGACAGATAGAGCCAAACAGAAAGACTGGGGAGGTGTTGGGTGGGTGGGGGGGCAGCTTCAGGGGAGTCCTAAAAAACTGTTAGCACTTTGGCTTTGGAAAACCAGAAGGAGACAAAACTAGGTGTGAATCAGAGGAGCTCCTTGGTACAAAACTCCCAGAGTAGCAGGGGACTCTAACAGGACAAAGGCAGGCAGACATGACAAGCACACATAAGATAAGGAGAAATCTAACAAGTATAAAAGCAAGGTCCTGTATTTGAAAGAAAATGCGCCAGGTGACACCAGCAGCAATTGGTGACGGGATAGGGACCCCTGTCCCCTGGGTGGTGCAAACAGTTAGGCCAACCAAAAGACGGAATGAAGGCTGGAGCCCATCGCAAGGTGCCTCAGAAGAAAGGTCTGGTGTACTGCTTCTGAAAAATTCTCACTCATTCACTGCCATCGCCTAACTCACAGCAACCCGACAGGCGAGAAGATAACTGCCCCTGTGGGTTTCTGTAAGACCAATGGTGAGGATGACGGGACTGGGCAGTATTTCATCCTCTGTGCACAGGGTCACTATAAGTCGGGACCCACTCAACACCTAACAACAGCAGCAGCTCTATGTGAGCAGAAGGCCCTTTTGTGTAGCCCTTCTGAGAGGGATGAGCCAACGATCTTTCAGGTGGGTTTTGGGTCTCCACCACATCCACGTCCCTTCACATCAATTTGGTTGCTTGTTTTTGAACTTCTGATACTTCTTCCCATCGACACCTCATGATCACACATGCTTCTTCCACGTAGGCTTTGTTGCTAGATGGCTGCTCGTTTAAATCCAAGCCTTTAAGATCCCAGACACTATACCTTTTAATAGCCGGGCACCATCAGCTTCCTTCACCACATTTGCTTATGCACCCATTTTGTGTAAGAGCTTATTTTAGCTCTCTCATTCACTGCCACGAGTCAATTCTGATTCACAGATTCGTAGCACTGTCCCTTTGGGTTTCTGAGGCTGTAAATCTAAACAGGCGTAGAAAATCTCATTTTTCTCCTGAGAAGTGGCTGGTGCTTTTGAACTTCTGATCTTGCAGTTAACAGCCTAATGCATAACCCACTCCACCGCCAGAGCGGAAAAATTAGCCATGAAAAACCCCATGGGGCACAGTTCTACACTGACTCACATTAGGTTGTTGGAATCGACTTGCCTGCAGTTGGTCACAGGGAACAAACATCTGTTTAAGCACTGATAGTGTGTACTCAAAACACCTACTGAATTTTCTGGAGAAAGTAGAAGATGTTGTGAGCTAACTGCAGGTGGTCAGAGCCCATCTGGAAAGGTAGACTTTGTCCTAGGCAGACATGAACAATACAGCACGTGGCCAGAGAGACTATCTCCTTCTGCCCAGGAAGTATAGATTCAGCTATGGAAAGGGCAGAGAAAACATGCACTAACTCTCAAACAGAGAAAGGTAAAAAAAAAAAAAAATCAACCCAAAGGCCAGGGTGTGAGTGACTGGAGAGCCGCCTCTGTAACCACAGGACCTTTACTCCTATGGGGGCTCCTGCCCTGTAACAGGAAATGCTGGCTGCAGTGGAGATGCTAAGGTTACAAAATCACCCACCGGGGCTGGCTGCTCTCTAAGCATGTAGAGCGGTGCTGCTCAAACTCCTGAGTGCTTAGGAATCACCTGGGGATCTTGTTAGAATGCTGACTCAAATTCAAAGCCTCTGGGGTGGAGTTTGAGGCTCAGCATTTCTAGCAAGCTCCCACACCTCGCTGATGATGTTGGCTTGGGGACCACACTCTGAGTAACTGGGCTCTGGGCCACTTTCCAGTGAAAAGGCCCCTGTCCTCACCGGTCTGACCTGGGGAAGTCCCGCTTTCCCAACAGACAATGGTGGGGCTAGAGTGACCAAAACTGCAGGACTTCCCAGGAGGGACAGAGGGCGACTACTGCTTTAGGAAGTACACACCCGCCTCACAGGTGGGAGTCTCCCACGGAAGATTTTTTCCTCCAGGGAAGGAGATTCGGGTGGGGGTGGGGGGAGTGTGGGTGTCTGCTTGTAGGTGTTTGAAAGCCCCAGTACAATTTAGCAACTCGGAAGGATCGAGGGAACAGAAGCCCACAGTCCTGCTGCAAGCTGTCTAGATTTAATCAGCACGGCCCCACCCACCCCTCCGTTGGTATTCCTCGAGGGGAGAGGTGACTGCAGACAGGGTGACTCCCCCGCTGTGACTCAGACCCACAGAATCAAAATCTGATGCCCGTAGCCCAGCATTCTTGAGGCCCTGGCTCCCTCCACGCAGCCCCGCCCACGATTCCAACCCGAACTTCAGACTCCACGTGCCGCACCTCACCCTGCCCCCTGCCCCCTGCCCCCTGCCCTGCCTTTGGCTTTTCTTCAGGTGTCTTCTCCGCCACTCCAACCTCACTGGTCCCAACCCTCCCGACGTAGCCGGGCTTCCCCAATCGCCTGGGCAAACCCACAGCCTCTGCGCGGTCTCTCTGAAAAGTCTGTCTTGTAGCCCAGGGTTTTTTGGTTGGTTTGTTTTTAACTGAGGGTGCTACGGGTGGCCCTCTCCAATGCTGGGCGCCCCTTTGTCTCCCCCTGCGTCGCTCAATGCAGTGCCCGGCTCACAGGAAGTGCTCAGAACGGAGCTGGGTAGGCAACAGCTGTGGTCAGTGGGAGCATCTAGCTCACAGGACGGAACCGGACTGGGTGGGGTTCCCCGAAGAGCAAGGGTCACTGAGGCGAGGGCCTGGGACCCCGAGTTTTGGGCCAGGGCAGCTCCCCCCAAGCCGTAACTGGGGTTGCCTGGGGCCGGCGCCCCTTCCTCCCGGAGCCCCGGACTCTTGCCCCGCCGCCTCCAGCGCCCTCACCTTGTAAACCTTGCCGAAGGCGCCGTCGCCCAGCTCGCCTACGATCTCCCACACCTCGTTGGGGTCCACGTCCCGGCGGACGTGCTCGTATTCGCGGGACTTTCTCTTCTCAAAGGTGGACAGGCGCAGGATGCGACGGAAATTGGCGAAAGCCATGGCTCTGAGCGCGCGGGGCGCGGGGCGCGGGGGCGCCGGCTCGGGCT